TCAAGAAGTCTAGTAGTAGTAACGTATCTGTGTAGTAAACAACTGCCAAATCAAATAAAGAAAGTACACATCAATTATATTTTAACAAATATTCAAATTTTTCAAATTAAATTGGATGGATTATAAATAATGCATAGAAAGACATGAATAAATGTTCTTCTCATTTCAAGTAAAATAACAGCTGGATTAAAAAATAAATTACTAAACGAAATTCATTTTAGCAAAATTATTTTCAGTGAATTGCCCTGCAGCTTTGAATTCAGTTCATTCAGGATGAAGTGAAGGGCCACAATATTATATTTTTCTCATCTTCTAAAAAGAGAATTTAGTGTTGGAAGAATTCACCTCTATGAGTCTGGTCTCACTGGACATTCTTCTCTTTTGGAAATCGTTCTATGATTTGACTTTCACACCTCTCACCTCAACAGTCCTGCTCTACTCTCTATATCCTCGTCTCTCCCCGTGTGTCATGGTGTGTGTACATCTCACTCAAGTCAGGAAACTTGTCAGAATACCCATATTTGATTGGCTGAGCTGCATCACGTGATGTGATTCACAACGCATTGGTCGGTGTTTTTCCTGCACCGCTGAACAAGTGCCGTAAATGCCGGAATAATTCCGCTGCATAAAAAATGCCCTTCAAAATAAAATCACATTTATTTATTTTCTGTCAGGCAAAGGCCCGCGACCCACTGAAAACGGGTCCGCGGACCCACCAGTTGAGAATCACTCCAGTTTGAGTGAGAGGTTTGATTCATGTGACAAAGAATCACGTGAATCTGAACAAAAACAAAAATAATTCATTTTGACCTGCTGCCAATCCAACTTCATTTCAAGTGTCCAGGTTTCACTGTAACATGTCTCTACTGAAGCCTGCAGATTCACTGCCTGTCTCTCTGCTGCTCTGTCTCGCTTGCTTCATCCCCATCTTCCTCTTTGCTGTCCTTTTGTACCACCCCGCCCTTTTTCGGCCATTCTCTCAGTCTGACTGGGAGAATGGGTGAGGAAAATGGAGAGGAGACATTTTTCCAGAGCACAGCTCCCGCCAAGCCCCCTGCAGCACCCAGCGAGGAGGAAGAGGAGGATGAGATGGTGAGGAAGGATCTCCTCCCGTTCCTTGTGTTTAGTTTCAGTGTTCAGTCAGTCGGGGATGTTTCATCACGACATCATTCTGCTTTAAAAAGATGGCTGCCTGTTCTGTATGACAGCATTCGTGTTCTCATCTCTTTCGTTTGTGTCCAGAGCTTGAAGGGACACCCCCCCCCCGCCCCTCTCTTTGGTGATGATGAGGAGGATAATGACCTGGACTGGCTAAACTGACATAATACACACTCTGTGTGGTGGAGCAGTCAGCACCAACAGAGAGGAGGAGCCTGATTGGACGGAGCAGACAGACGGTGTGTCCTGCTGACTGACGGTCCACCTCTGATCTACTATCACAGAGGAAAAAGTGTTTCATTCATTATGTGATATCTGTTGGTTTTTTACATTGCACTGCAGCAGATGAGTCTGTCGAATCAGCAGGAATCCTGTTATTTTAATGATTAGCTTGCTGCTTTAAGAATAGAACTTTTACACAATTTTGCTAACCTGAAATTCCTTCCATAAAATAAATGACATGTAGATTGTGCTCTTGGCTGTATTGTTTCTCTTTGTGTGTGTGTGTGTGTGTGTGTGTGTGTGTGTGTGTGTGTGTGTGTGTGTGTGTGTGTGTGTGTGTGTGTGTGTGTGTGTATGTGTGTGTGTGTGTGTGTATGTGTGTAT